GCTGGAAAAGCTGTGTATGCTGGAAAAAAGCTGTGTATAAAGAATTAATAGCTCATCTATATATTCTGATAACCTCTTAGTTTTTCTGGTTAAATAAGACTTGTTGGATAGCAGAAACAACACTAATGCTTTCTACATGTAAATCTTGAGAATTTTAGCTCATTGCATATTTTTTATCTCATAAGTCAAAATTTTGGATTTAAATATAGGGCTCAAGAAGTGCCATCGTTGTCTGTTAAATTTTATCGCAATTTAGTTTAGGTTTCTAGATGGGATAGTGTTTAATGACGCAGACTGTTATACCAAAGGGTTTGGGTTCGAATCCTGGAAAATGCATGTATGTTTATAAGCATATAATGTGTGTGTGTCAAGGAGACACTTAAAATACTTAGCAAGCTGAATCTTCTCGAGAGAATAAGGAGATCCTCAGACCGCCCCTTGGGGTGTTCGGAATGCCAGATTGGAGCGGAAACTTTACAGTTAGCTAGGTACAGCAGTATTTCAATCACCTATGGTACTAGAGAGGTGCTGGCCTGGTATCTGTATCTGTAATTTACTTGACAAAATGTATCGAAGTTAAAAATTATTGTACTGTAATTTATTGAACCAAGACTACATTAAATAAAGTTAGTTGCTTATTCTTTTCAAGTAAATTATGTATTTGATTATTGACCTGTTTCTTTAATATTTTCGTACAAAGCTGGGTCAGTATACATCAAAATTGAAGACTGTAATTACCATTTATTAAGGTATTCCAATAAATAGATTGTGAAGTTTATTTACTCATTTAAATGTGTATTCTTTAAATGCAACTTTGTAGAGACATTAAGATTATTTTGGAAGCAAGAGAAGTAAAAAATGAGTAACGCCTTCATCGAGAATCGAACCGTGGACCTCGGGAATATGCCCTAGCATGCAGACCACCACACCACGAAGACATGCCAAGAAGGCGGGAGAAATATCTTATATACTCCTCCTTTTAAAGGGCGATTGGGGTTTTAGGGGACCAAGTTGCCAAATCTTGGGTGTGGAGAATCATCATCCACCACCCCTTTTTTAGTTCGGGCATCACTGTAGAGACATTAGGTATTTTTTGGAAGCAGGAGTCATGAAAAATGACCAATGCCCTCACCGGGAATTGAACCTGAGACCTCTCGATACGCGCAGAGTTTGGAACCGTCACACCAAGAAGTTAAGAGAAATACCGTATAACTTTAACTATCTGCTGTGAAAAATTTTGCAGCTAATTTTTTTGTAAGAATATTAATATTCAGTATTACAAATTTCGACACCTGCTAGATTGATTTTAGTTGTTAGGTTTTCCTTTTTACTAATTCTCTTTTCTTTAATGGATTCTTTCCATATGCTTTGAATTACTTCTTTGTAATTCCACAAATCTCCCTTCTAAAGTGTGACAGCTTGTTCTAATAATGAAAAACCAATCTTGGTAGATAATTCTGGAAAAATGCTGTGTATTGACATTGTAAATGCTTTATGTTATACTGTAAGAATGTTTCCTCTTTCTTGATCTATTTTAGGATAGCTCTTGTTTACAATTAAAATGCAAGAGCAACAGATATATTTAATTTTTGCTGGGTTTTAACGAAAGTTTTTCTCCACCACAAATATCGTCTGCGCAAACTGTTCGTGTTGCCGTGTTTAATCATATTTATTGTGTTTAATCATTTTTGGCATTTGAAAGAAAGAGACTTGTTTTAGAACACTGTGTTGTGAAGTTTACAAGAAAATATCGTTATCATTAAGTACAAGATATCTAAAATGGAACTATCACACCTGCCAGATTAGAACCATCATTTACTTTCAGTTCTGTTGCAAAAAAGTCAGCTACAGAATGTCACCAAATCAGAGGGTTGGTACCAAAAGTTCAGAAACAAGGACTATGACATTCAAGAAGCAGAGTGCTCTAGCTGGCCTACTTACTTATTTACCACCAAGGTGAGTTGCTATACTGCCTGTTATATGACTATCAGGATTTGTACTCAATTGGTGGAGCATTCTGTTGCCGCTATTTCCAGCCAAAAATCTCTATGAAATATTAAAATTTTTAACGGAAAGTTACTTCGGAAGATGGGTATTCGTGATCAGTGGTTATTAAAGAGACCCTGTCGAGACTTTGCTGAATGAGGATTTTAGCAATGTTTTGTGCATTGTGATTCTGAGTTTACAGAGAACATGTACTCTAGAAGTCAGGGGTAATTTGGATATAAGAAGTTATTTGGATGCATTATACTGAACAATATAAACTGGATATATTAATGTACACTGTGCAAAAAAAGAAATGATACAGTTCTATATCTCCCGCTCTATCAAGCCGATTGACGAAATTCAACTTGTGTTTTTCATGTCTGGAAAGCGTGACTTAGGATATATATTAGATTTATGTAGCTTTGTTTTAAGAAAGGTATTTTGATACAAAATCGGATTTTTTCTGAAATAACATATAATGTTTTTTTCATATTTCGATTCTACTACTCAAATTACGCCAAACTACCAAGATTTGTAAAAATCGCACAAATATTTTTAAAAAAAATTACCTCTCAAAACTTTAGCTCCAAAATGTTAATCGAGTTTGGTATATGTATTTATTAGTCTTTCTTTTTTTTATTAAACTTATTTGATTCTTCCATTCGCATTTCAAAATTCAGGTTCATTCCAAATAAAATTCACCCATTATTTATGATTTATTTTTAAATAATTTTTATAAATTTTTCAAAAAAAATTTGAGTTATAATATATAAAATTTTTACCATCATCTTGAAGTAGACGTATTTCTTAGCATATCTGCAAAGAATTACAGTTTTTTTATATATTGGCACGTTTTGAAATTTGGAATATTTGTTGAAAGCGATAATAACATCAAATGTGGTGTAGGCACTTTGTTAAAATTATTTGAAAGTAGGAACGATGCGACTTTTTTCCCCCGCTCATGCACAATATAAAAAGATAGGGATGAGGTGCCATTTTTTTCTGCTCCGGCATAATGGAAGGAAAAGGAAAACTGGTTTCCATTTATTAAGAAGTTTGCCAAGTGAATTATTCTTGGCACAAACTGAAAAAAGTATGCTGAGATAAAATTTTTGAATTTCTCCATAAATTTTGCACCAAATTTTACAAAATTTAATATATAAGCATAATTTAAGTCATAGAATCGAAATGTGAAAAAAAATTGGTATAATATTTCAGAAAAGTCTGATTTTGTGTCAAAATACTTATGTTAGAACAATGCTATATATAAATCTAATATATATCCTATGCCGTGCTGTTGAGACATGAAAAATGCAATTTTAATTTTGTCAATCGGCCCAGTAGAATGGGAGATATAGAACTGTCCCTTTTTTTTTTTCGCAGTGAACATCATATGTGCTGGGCACATATTTGCAGAATTCCTGTGTAATACGTATTTGCTTGTCACAGTAGTCACTTGTGGTATTCAGTTATTTACAGTTCACTTTTAACCTGCCTGATAACTGAAGGTGACGCTGAGAAATACAAATCAGTGTATAGAGTTGAAAATTTCTGTGTTCACTGAAAAACGTGCGGTTCACTTATATACAGAGCACCATTTTATATCTGCTTGGCATTTTGTACTAGTTACTGATGCAAAACACATTGAAGATGGGACTAAAAAATAATAAGTTCATTATGACACCACTCAGCTGCTAGATCTGTGCTGAGAACATTTTTCTTTTTTTAATTCTACATTGCCTTTACACTTTCATTTCATGGTTCATGATGTTCATAAGGCCCACCTGTGAGAACTTGTTAAAGATCAGTATGCAACCATTCGTGAGCTTGCTAAGTAGTTAGACGTTAGTGCCATGTCCATTAGTCATGCTATGCATCACATAAACTTGATATACAAGTTCAGTTGGTGGGTGATATATGAGCTGACCAAAGCAGATAAGGCCAGACATGTTCAGGCGTGTACTAATCTGCTTGAATATCAATGCAAGGAGAAAATTCCTTACCGGATTGTCACTTACTTCAACAACTCAGGCTGAAAAGGAGGTTGGATTGCCCCCAGTAAGCCCACCGGTAGCATCACAAAGTGCAATTTGACTAACAAAAAGATCATGCTTCATATCTGGTGGGACTTGCCGTGGTATTATCCACCCTCGACAAGTTAAACCCTCGACAGTAAAGTGTACAGTGAGATGCTAGTCAGTGTTGAGGCTACTATCAAGGAAAAACATTGAACTGAGTCCAAGCGCAAAAAGGTTATACATCAAGATAATGCACGATCACATGTCTGCATTCACTGGCTGGACTCTGTACGGACTTGAATTCGATCTTTTGCCTCACCCATCATATAGCCCAGACATTGCTCCTTCGGACTTCTACCTTTTTTCACACCTGCAGCTAAATCTTGCTGGTGCTATCTTTTTTCCTGCTCAGGATGCCCGAAATTAGGTTGATCTGTTTTTGGACTCATGGCTATCAAGTTTCTGGGCTGAAGGCTTTGAAAAACTACCAAAACATTGGCAGAAAATCATAGATTTGGGTGGTGATAACAACTTTCACTAAAGACACTGCTTTCGTGGGTTTTTTTTCCTAACTTTATTTAGAAGTTTTTTTTTTTTTTTTTTTTTCACGGAAAGCTTTTATTACAACCAGATATAAGCATATTAAACATACCTGAAATTAAAGTTTTGTGTGCTGTTATTGAGCGCTAGAGGGAAAAGTTTGTTCTTTTGTAGATAGTGAAAATTATTAAAACTAAAGCCACCAAATTATAAAATTTCTCTGCTGGTGATTTGAAATGTTTCATGCTTTTTATATTTTAGTATTACATCAGGTGCTTTTAAAGTTATATTAATTGCTTATTTAGCATCAAAATATTTTTTAAATAGTATGTATTTAGCTGCATTTACAGAGGAATAGTTTCTAGAAGGGGGAAAAACGCTAACACTTTTCAATTTTTATCCTAATGTTTCACAATTTTAGTAATGTTACGAAGCACTGCATTCTTTATTTTGTAGGTTAATTAAGAGTGGAGTTGATGTAAATCAACGTCATGTTTTTGGATGGACTGCTTTGCAGGTTGCTGCTATGAATGGAAATTTGAAGTATGTTGTCTTCTGTTGTGGTTTAAAATATTTTTATTATTTCTTTGAAAATTTTAAGTGCTTATATTTTTAACATTATTAGACAATGCATATGTTCACCAAACAAAAGGGAAGAAAATATTTAATGCAGTTAAAAATAATTAATTATAATTGCAATTTTATAACTGCTTTGTAAATTTGCAACTTATGTTAAATCACATGCTTATAATTTATTTGTCATTTTTTTGTAGATTTATTTTAAAATTTAGGATGACCTTAGCTTAACAACCAACCATAATAAATAAAAATAAGCCTTGAAAATGGTAAACACTTTGAGTTTTTTTTTAAACGAAAATGTGTAAGTTGCATGTATTTTAAGTAAAATATAATTTTTTAGTGCAGTGTTAAACTACACTGGTGTGCAAAACTTAAGCAACAATGTAAATTTTAATCAGATAGCAATGAAATTGCAGAAAAGGGGTTCTTGCGATCAATACAATGAACATGCAATTCAGTAGAAAGGTAATGCGTATGCAAATGTCAAGAATAAAACGTCACAGATGACATGAGCGTACACTAAACGCGTGCGGTCAGAGCATTCATTTCAAGACTACAATAAAAGAAAGGACTGAGACTCAATTAAAGACATTCGCTACAAGTTCAAGTGAGTTCTTTTCTGAAATATGGCTAGAAGAAATCACCTGGATGACTTCACAGGTGGAAGAATGATCGATTCTTGGAAAGCCTTCCACACCATAGTTACAACTGTTAAAAAGGTTGTTGCCCCCAAGAAAACAACTGCAGTGGATGACCAATATATCATCCTGCAGGCTAAAAGAGCCCGAAATCAGTCAGTTTACCATGCCCAGATGCCTTCACAAAGGTGGCCTATTCGTTTGCCGTCCTGAACGCTGCATCCCTTTGAAAGTTGCCATCAGCACCATTGTTTAAAGTGGTGCAAGGAGCACAAAAGTGGACATTTCATCAATGGAGTTGTATCTTCTTTATGGGTGAGAGTCGTTTTAGTGCCACAAGCGATTCTCAATGCCAGTTGATTTGGAGAGAGGTCGGGACACTGTTTCATCCCAGGAAAGATAATATCAGCCAATTGTAATATCACGGAAAGAGACCGTTACTGTGGTCCTGGAGTTCTCATCTGGGGAGGCATTATGCTGAACGGGCAGACAGAGCTCCACATTTTCAACAGAGATTCTGTAACCAGAGATTGCTATTGTCAGGAGGTGATCCTTCCCCATGTGTGTCTGTTCCGAGGTGCCATTGGACTTCATTTTTATGGATGACAGTGCACGGCCGCACCGGACTCCTGCTGTTCAGAATCTACTGGAAAGGGAAGATATCACTCGAATGGCTTGGCCAGAATACTCACCTGATTTAAATCCCTTAGAACATGTGTGGGATGCTTTGGGAAGACACCTTGCTGCACTGTTACATGCTTCGGGGAACACCCAACAACTGAAACAGATGCTGATTGAGGAATGGGCACTCTTACCTCAAGATCTGTTGGACAATCTGGTACTGAGTATGGATAGACGGTGCAAAGCAACCATTGCAGTAAGGGGACGGCATATCCCATACTAAGGAACATATGCTTGTTGTTCTTCCTCATGTATAATCATGTGTAATGATACTGTGAGTACAGTAAAGCATGTTTTTATTTGATTCCATACTGTATGCATTATATTCATTTTTGCTCGACTATGTTTTCGTCATTGTTTAAATACAAAATGCTGAACTTCATGTCTCTCAGATGATTTCTTGTGGAATTATGGCAAAAAGAACACCTGTTGTGCAAGTTTTGTATATCAGTGTATTGTTAGTTCTTATAATTGACTGTTTAATGTATTTCTTTATCTAAATAATAAAACTGAATGAGAAGTACTTAAGAACATGAATATCCTATGAGCAAATGTGAGGGAGCTCTTGTCAAAGTAGGTGTAGATTAGAATTCAGTTTTAAAACATGTAAATATATAAAAATATCAAATTATGAAATGCTGTTTTCTTTGGCTTTTGAAGAGTGGAATTTTATACATTACAAGTTAATTCTCATCCATAATCATTGCTAATAAATCAAGAATATTTCCTTGTCAAAATGTATCGCTGTGATATTTAACAGTAGATAAATTTACTTTATTTAATATGCATTATTTTTGTTCATTAAAAAATTCATATTTAAGAATATTAATACTAGTATTAAAGAATTCAGTTTAAGAATTGTATTTCATATGATTAATTATATTATGAAATCTACCGTAATTCACATATAGGCAAAGTATAAAGATCAGTTTTAATGCAGAATAAATTTATTACATTCTTAATGTGTAAGCTCACAAGGAGACTTCATTGCAAAATACTTTTGCTTATTTTTGTACATTTTATGTAGAGTTGTTGAAACATTACTGGAGTTGGGAGCAGACGTTAACTTGGGAGATGAATTTTCTAATGTATACCAAGTAGCTAAAGATAAAAGAGTGCATTCCCTGGAAGGTATGTATTTTTATCACTTTACCATTAAAGCTCCCACTATTACCTCTTCCCCCCTCAAGATTCAAACAAATTTAGTCCCCTCCTTTGTGAATAGATTGCTATCATATCTCTACTAAGAAAAGTGCACATACTAATCAGAATAATAGAAATAATACAAGGTTTAATAGCAAATTTAAAGAAATGCAAGTATGAAAAATTTAAATAAAAGCAGTTTATGCCAGTGAAAAGTGTAATGAGAGTTTTGCATGATCATAAGCATATTTATTTAACAATGCTTGCATGATTATAAACATTCAACTTTGGTTATTAAAATAATTCTTAAAACTTAGGCAAATTTGAAAATAAAGACAGCACAAGTTCATAAAATTTCTTACAAATTAATATTCACATATATGGTATATTACAAAACAATTTTAAATTTAGTATTTTTTTTTACCAAGCAAAATTTTAATAAAAGGATTTTTATATTTTCTGATTATCCTTACTCCCTATGAAAACTCTTGAAAAGTATTCGTGAGGCAACATAGTATGTTGCCAAAATAATTATGTGGTAACTCACAATGTTGCAAAAATGTATTTATTTGGCAACACAAGTGTACACATATCTGGTTTGGTTATTTGGCTGTGTGCAATGCAAAATTTGTTCAATTCTCTGATTTCTTTTAAAAATGAAAACAGATTATTTTACACATGGGAAGAACAGTGCAAAAAAGTGACTGAAGCATTTCTTGAAAAAGTAAGTGTTTTAATACTGATGTTTCTTGCAATTTTCATTTTATTGATAGATTGTTTTGTTATGGAATTAGTGCATCACTTTTTTGTAAATGGCTCTTGTTGTTGGTGCATTAACTTGGCAAAAAAATTTTGAATCTCGCCCAAGGATATCTTGCTGTGAAAAGAAATCCATTTTTGTGGCTAAGCAAGTGTCTGAAATCAGCAGTGAGTTTGCAGATTTTCGTTTTAGTGGTGTTGGAGGTAATTAGAGTAGTGAATTTTTTTATATCTTCATTTTATTGAAGCTGACATTCTTTAAGTTTTTTTTAGTTCATGTACCTGGTTCTGTATTAGCAAAGTTATACTCTAAAGTTAATTGCAGAAATAAAAGTTGGTAACATTCGCTCTTCTTAGTAGTGCACTGTTAGGTAACAGCTTTAACCAAAAAGTACCATATATTTTTAGTTATTATGAAATATTTTCTTTTATAGTGAAAGGAAATCATATTTTTAACTATATTAAAGCACTGATTTCTGTTTTAAGTATGGGCTACTAGAGAAGATGAATTCAGTGAGAAATTGAATATGCGAGCTACTTTCCGAAATACCACTGCTTTGCATTATGCAGTTCTAGCAGATGAAATCAAAGTTGTAGAGATTCTTTTAAATCATGGTAAGAAATGTTTTATTTAAAAATTTTTAGCTTTATTAAATTTTATGCTTTTGTTAAAAATATTGATCATTCTTAATTATACTTTTTGTAGTCTTATCTACCATAATCATAAACATTTTTCAGTATTTGCTGGTGATTGCCAGAATGCCAAGTTTTGTAAAAGTCGTACGAGTAGTTTTTAAAATATTAGCTCTCGAAATTTTAGCTCCTCAATGTTAATTGAATTTGGCAAATATTTATTAATATCTCCTTTTATATTAAACTTTTTTGATTTTTCTTTCACATTTCGAAATCTAGGTTCATTCCAAATAAAATTTACCCATTTTTTGTGTTTTATTTTTTAAATTTCTATTTTTAAATAATTTTTATAAATATTTTGAAAAAAATTTGAATTATAACCTATAAAATTTTTACCATCATCTTAAAGTAGGTGTATTTCTAAGCATACCTGCAAAAAATTAGACTTTTTTATTCAAAATTTTCTAAGATACACACGAATTTACATATTTTCGCCTTTTGAAATTTGGCACCTTTTTTTTTTTTTTGAGCGATAATAATGCCAAATGTGGTTTATGGATTTTTGTTACACTGAATTGCCATAGCTATTTTTAACCTTAAATTTCAAATAAATTTTTACGGAGAATTAATTATATGAAATTTTTTACCTCAATGATACATAATAAATATTTATTAATACTATGTGAAAAATTATTATTTTTTAAATTATAGATGATATTATTCAAATTTTTAACTTTTAAAAAATTTCTTGCCTTTAAAAAAAAAATATTTGTAAGACTAAATTTTTATCTTCGGCATTTAGTCGTCTGCTACTTTAACTTCGTTTAAATCGAATTGTCTAAAACTGAGAACTTTCGTCTGATGTTTATTTGAATATTATGAAAATATTTTATGACATTAACTGCATAATTTATTTCTAAACAAGCTTTTATGAATCAGCTGATACTATCATCCATATTTTTAAAGCACAGTATATTTTTATAGAAACATGAGATTTAGAATAATCATTTTTATAAAAGTCAAATTATGATATAAACATACAACCCTCTAGAGACCGAATTAATGGAAGTTCAATGGTTATGTAGAAATGATCTGCAGCTACTTAATGGCTCGATAAGTCATCAGGTTCTGTGGACAAGTAAGAATAATTATATAAACAACACCCAACATTCTGAATTCAATTACTAACGAGGGTACGATGTTTATTAAAAGAATTTTAAAAGTTTTTAAACATAAAAAATCGACTAATTTTTTTATCCTAAAATGTATTTTTCTGCACAATGTATTTCATTATATCCTTAAAATTCTAATTTAGAATGTACTTTTCAAGAACTGAATTCTAATCATCAGCAATATAATTAGTAATTATTACAGTTATTAATAAATCCTTCTTATAAAGTAATTGAAAATATTTCAAAAAATTTTCTGTCTGAATGCAAATATTTTTCTATGCAAATATTTCTAATTTTGTATTAATCAAGATTGCTTAAGATATTATTTATTCACACTTCAATGCTTACCATCAGCTCTAGTAGAAGTTACAAATCAATTATATTTAATTAAGGAATGACCATCTAAGTTTAGAAACAGTATACCGTAACAGCAATTCAATTATTGATGCCGTATCTTTCATGTTACTCCCACTTGGAAAGCTACATGGTTTTTAATGAGTATTCGGGTTTTGCTAGTAAATTCAATTGGAAATTCGCACTTAAACTAGGATAGTTGGTTATTCGAACATAGAAAAGAACATGGGAGGCTATTTGGTTAAGATGCTTTTCAGTAGAGAACCTTTGTAAAGAGAACCTAGAAAACTACGAAAACCAGCCATGCAGCCTGGGTTAGACTTCGCAACAAACAATTAATATTTAACAATCTTCAAATGCTAGGCAACTGGGGAAGCTCCAATTAAATCTGCAATTTAATATTTTATTTGTAAATATTTAAAATATTGTTGTATTCTTAGACACAAAAAGCAGAATTTAAGTTTTGTTAGCTCGTTAGTAAACTGCCAAGCCATAGTGCAACTGAATATTCAATTTCTTTTGCAATAATTGTATTCACTTAATATTCTTAGAATATGAGCTAAAGAAGGAATGTTCTCGGAAGATTAAAAAGGTGTTTAAATCCAGTGATATTAGGTTTGTCTTACAAGCTCAGGTATCAAAACTATTCTGCAATTGCCCGAGTAGTTGACTTGTAAATGGCTGTGAATTAAGCAGATGACTTTTAATCTTATGTTATTCAGTCAGAAAACGTATTCCAAATGCTTTGCATTGCATGACAATGCATCTTTTCATTATTCAATAACCAATCGGAGAACCGCTTGTGTTCTGAATATAAGTATGTGTACTCAAACATCCTGCATGTTCTTCAAATTTGTCTTCTTGTGATTTTTTTTTTCTTTCCCAAAAACTAAAGTTGCCTCTCACAGGACAGTTTTTTGACATTGAAGAGACAAAAGGAGTATGACATCTACTTTTAGAGGCATGTCAAAAACAGATTTCTACAAGCCTTCTCTTCCATTACGTGTTGTGCATTCAGACAAAATGTTGCATCAGTGTAAATTCTATAATCTATTTTTATTACACTCTGATTACTTTATAAACATACAGTGAATATATACTAAACCTTTTACTTCAGCTTCAGTAATTCGGAATTTTTGACGGAATTGTTATCGGAACTAGGACTTAGAAGATAAGTCAAATTAAATATTTCGCGGATAATCCAATAAATTCAAGGTTGAATTTTCAATATTTTATTTTCGGAGAGAGGGGAAATTTTTTTCAGTTTTGGTCCATAATCCTAAGTATATTTGCTTCGATTCTTTATTTTTTCCATTAAAGCGAAAATTTTACGCATGATACACATATAACGCATAGATTCAAATTAAATTTTAATAATATACAGGGTAGTTATTATTAAAGTTCCACTTTAAAATGGTCATAAAAGGAAAACTACTGGATCAAATGTTATCAAACTTGGTAACCGTGCAAAGGAGATTATGGGAAATTATTTTACGCGAAAAAAAGAAAGTTCAAAACCTTACCACCAGGGCGAAATGGCGCTGTATGTAATATTGCTAAACGAAATATGGGTCGAAATAATATCTAACTTAACCTTTTGTTACACGGGTTTAATATATTGTATACCCTTAAGAAACTTTGAAGTGAGCAAATTATCATTTAAAGGCGTTAAAGTCGATAAAATCGAGTGTGCTATCTGTGTAAGGGAGAAATTCGTCCATGAAAACCAGGAATTAGCGATTAGAAAATGTGAGATCGCAAATCACTCGCACAAGTGCCTACAATCTGGAAATCGTTTTCTTACAGATCGCTAATTTGTAATTTTTGAAACCTGAATTGGCCCTAAAACATGTAGATACTTATTCAAAACGCTTTTAATCAGTTTCCATCAAAGAAATCCCTCGTGTTACCTACCTAGTTCCATTGCAATCTCCTACTGCATTCGATAGCATAGCGGTCATTCCACACCGCTTAGAGTGGAATGATAGCTAGTTTCATAACTGAACCATTTTTCTCTGAAGAGCAGTCGACAGCTGAACCACTGTTATTGCAGCTCGGTTAGAGTCAATGTTAAAATGTTTTGTCATACATGAAGTGCAGTAACCTGGCATTTTAGATTACTAGGATTTTTATGCAGGGCTGGGCCCCACCTCGCATGTATCGCACAGTTACTTAGGTCGACACATGTTTCAGTCCGAACTTGAACGTCTTCCCATAGCCCTTAACCTCTGTGACTCTATAAAAATATCCCCACTGTCCTTTAACCAGACTATGGATTCTAGTAAAAGCTGTTTTGGCTATGGGGTTATCTCAAAAGCACTGTTTATGGTGATAATGTAAAAGAATTTGGCAGAATATGAAAAATGTGATACACCGACATGTCCGTAATCATTACTCCTGATATGCTAAGAGCTGCTGCTCAGAATGTAGTAACAGGATTTAACTTGCTTTCAGAAAATGCTGGACGCTACATTGAACATGCTTTGTAACACATTTCGGAAAGGATTAAACACATTTTAAACCGATGTTTTCATGTCTTATTTCATTTAACAATATCACATACAGTGCCATTTTTCCCCTGATGATGAGTTTTTGAACTCTTTTTTTTCCCGTGGAAAATAAATTCTCATAACCTCCTTTACACGATTCCCAAGTTTGATAACATTTGATCGGGTAGTTTTTCCTTTTATGACCATTTCAAATTGGAACTTTAATTATAACCACCATGTAAACTAAACTTTAAAAGTTTGACAGTTTGGTTCAAGTTCCAGCTTTAAAAATATGTATATATAAATATAAATTTTTATATTAATCCTCTTAGAAAAAATGTTTTAAGAAGCTAATTTTTCTCTCGTGTTATAGATTGTATAAAAAACATTATCTTAATATGATTTAGATTGTTTCAGCCGAAGAATTGGGTCACTCGGTGGTACAGAATAAACACTGCTGGACTATTTTATTTCTTTGTCATTTAAAAAAAAATCTTTTAATTAAAATATTTATCCTTTGGAATTTGTTCTATACTTTGTTTATAGTTAAAATGTCTAGAAAATTGAAATCTGTATTCAACTGAAACACAGTTGATGCAATTGATATTTTAGAAAAATTCACATGAATGCAAAATTTATGGAAATCTAGAAATCGAAAAATCTTAATTTTCTTGAGCACTGAAAATAACTGTAGAAGGAAAGAAGAAAATTAAAGAGAAAATTAAGCAAAAACTTGAAAAGAAATTTGGCTGTCAGACATACCAAGATGTTTCAAAAAGTTGGACGCTTTTGAATATACTTTCAGGATACTTTAAAGAATTTAGGTGTTCAAAGAGAAAACACTTGGACGTGTACACCAGCAAATACCATCAATTCAGCTTGTGTTAACAGAAAAGACAAAAACGATATCGTTGCAAATTAAAGTGAAGAGCGGCTGGTTTTAGACTATATGGTTTGTTTTTATACT